AACGCTGGTTGGTTAATCAAATGTTGGATGTCATAGGGTCAAAAGTCGCTCGTACAACCGGTCTGTATGTAGTAGAGGCCACTGAAAGTATAAAAAAACGAAACGAAATATAGATCTGTATTTTAATCAGTTTGGAAGAAAATGATCTTCATTGTACTTTGGGAGAATGGGGAATGCATTGTGCAATGGTATATCGCGACAATCATACACAGTTAACTAGACAACAAATATTCGTTGGGTGTTGTCTATTTTCACACCGGTTTGGGAGAGGATAGGGGTGGGGGCTCAATTCGATTTTGGGAGAGGATAAGGACTGTTGGAGAGGTCATTTCCATACGGGAAATTCTGCTATCGGAAATTCTAGATTGGGTTTAATTTTGTCTACTGCCCAAAACCTAGAATTCTAACCCTTGTTTTGTTTAACGGTGCGTGGAGATGTCTGCCCTCTCCAACCCGCCTGCAGATAGACTCCTGAATTAGTTGTAAATGAAATGAAATGGAGTTTAACGTCCTACTGTTCTGCCCCGACTGGGCTAATAAAGAAGGCCACACGCCATACATTGTGCTATGGGGGAAATTTTGCCCGGGCAGCAGCACTATGGCCTATTCTTATATCGAATTTCAACTGCCAAGGGATCTTTTACGTGCACACCAATGTATACACGGGACCTCGGTTTTTCATCCCATCCGAACGACTAGACAACTGTCCTTGTCAGGCCCTCAGTCCTGTACCAGAACGGAAACGAGTTAGTTGTATTCCAAGTGGAGACTCTCGAGTGAGAGAAAGAAATGGGGTTTAACGTCCACTCGACACAAACTATATCATTTCGGGACGAACATATCGTTCAATTTCATTTCAATAACTCGCTTGCGCGTAGGGGTCTTTAGCAGTTGGAGGAGGACCCGGAGAAAACCCACGACCCTACACGTACAACCGGGGAATCGAAACTACACCAGTTGACTTGATGACAGACCTTATGATACAATGTGTACATGGGACCTCGGTTTTTCTTCCCATCCGAATGACTAGACCCTGCCCTTGTCCTTGCCAGCCCCACCCTGACTCTATAAGCGATCGAGTATAAAATATAAGTAATGCTGGCAGGATGTCTATTTATATACTATAAGTAATAATTCCCGGTATATTAGTAATACTGATAACCTTAGTAATGATAACATAAAGATAAATATCAGATATTTTGACGTTCATAAACCAATAAATAATGTTGTAATCACCGGTCTTGAGTTATGGTGTATATCGTGTTCAGATTAGAAAATAACGTACACCGTACGCATCAACTGTGGGTTTTCCCAGATGAAGAGACGGTGAAAACGGTGTTTATAATTCGAAGAAGGGTATGAAGACATGGTTGTGCCCTGCCACTAGGTGTTGTGTTGTCCATAAAAATTTCCTAGATATTTCCTAGTCTTGCAATGGAAAGCGTGTAGTCATATGGATGGGAAGGAAAACCGAGACCCCATGCACACATTGGCGTGCACGTAAAAGAACCTTTTGGAATTCAAAGAAGAGTAGGACAAGAAATACCGATGTCGATGAGAGAGAGAGAGGGTGGGTTTAACGTCCACTCGACTCGACACAAACTAGGTCATTTCGGGACTAACACATGGTTCAACCCTATTTTAACAACCGGTGGACCCGGGGAAAACCCACGAGGGTGGACAGGCGACCCTACTCCTTGTCACGTACAACCGGGGAATCAAAACCACGGCAGTTGACTCGATGACAGACCTTATGATACAGTGTTAACCATTCGGCGATCCAACCCCCCAATCTGCCTAGCGTATATCCGTCTTCATTAGCCCTGTTGTGCAGAGAAGTAATTCCAACTGCCAATGGTTCTTTACTCGCACGCCAATGTGTACACGGGACCTCGATTTTTCTTCCCATCCGAATGACTAGACGCTGTCCTTGTCCTCGCCAGCCCCAAGGACATGGGGAAACCACACTGGAAAATCCCGGGGAACTTTCTAGACCAACATCGGGATCTAACCCCGGACCCCGAGCCACCTCGGTTCCCCTTAATGAAATGAAATGGGGTTTAACGTTCTGCCCCGACTGGGCTAATGAAGACGGGATACGCCATACAGTGAGGGAAATTGTGGCTGCGCTACAGCCTACTCTTATATGGAAGTCCAACTGCCAAGGGATCTTTTACGTGCACGCCATGTATCAGCGACCTCTGGTTTTCCTCCAATCCGATCGCCTAGGCAGCTGTCCTTGTCAGGTCCTCATTCCTGCACCACTGACAAGGGGAAACCACGTCGGAAAATCCAGATGAAGTTTCTCGGCCAATGCCGGGATCGAACACACGACCTCCAGGATAGCGAGCCAGCGTCTTATTCACTCCGTGGCCCCTCCCCTTAATGAATAGAAAGATCGCATCAGTTTATCTTTAATGAACTATGTGTGATTTGTAAGTAATTAAGTACATCATGTGTAGAAAGGTTGCCCTTAATAAGATATGTGCGATATGTAATTAAGTACATTACGTGAAGAAATATCTTGATAATTGACTGTTTGTTATCTCTGTACGTAAATCACCAGTCTTATGTTGTGTTATTTCAATTAAGAAACGATGGCAAATATTATGGCTAATCTCGGTAGCGTGGCGGCATGGCGTTTACCTTGATTATAAGAAGACATAGTTACCATACTTACAGTAAGACCTGTACAACCATTGTCGTGGCTTGGCCTTTGGAATGAAAAGGGTGTAACGCCCAAGTGGTGTAACGCGCTAGTGTCGTGCCTTGTCTGCGATATGACTAACGTGGAAGCAGAAGTTTAACTTCAACTAGAAGAAGTCCCATGGAATACATTAAACAAAATATAAAGTGACAAAAGTAGTTACTACCCTTATGCCTGGTGTATATAGTAACGGGGAGTTAGGGCGGTGGGTGCTGTGCGGCCGAGTGGGGTTAACATCCTGAAGGCCGGACACCGAGTCACGTGGGGAGGGGGATCGATTTACGAATCTTATACGTTACAAGGTATGGGATTGCTTAATCCTATGTACAATGTATGTTCAATTGGTCTTCAGTTTTTTCTACTGTTAAACTCTAGTGAATTAGACTCTCTCTCTCTCTCTCTCTCTCTCTGTCATGGTTTCGAATCCCCGGTTGTACGTGACAAGGAGTATAGGGTCGCCTGTCCAAACTCGGGGGCTTCTGCCAATTGCTAAAGGCCCCTACGTGTAAGCAAATTATTGAAGTAATAATTGAATCATATGTTAGTCCCGAAATGACCTAGTTTGTGTCGAGTTGATGTTACCCCCTCTCTCTCTCTCTCTCTCTCTCTCTCTCTCGTGTAATCGTGTTGATAATGAAGAAATACCGCCCGTTTAATGAATACATGTTTATTATAACCAAAGATAAGTAGTCTATTAAATAATCATAACAAATCGACATGCCATCGAGTTACTTTATTTTAGTCTAATTATATGTCAGTCTCTAATGATAGTTAACTTCAAGTATCTCATTACACATCAAAGTAGATTTTAAGCAATATTTAACTCATTTGGGCTTTAAAACGTAACTTAGTAAAACACGTCAAGCATGATAGGCAATTATAAAGCAATGGAAATTGGTAAAATTAGGTTGTTGATAACTTATAAAAAAAAACCACACGCAGTCTTTATTGTGGCCACATAATGCATCTTACACGAACGTCCACATTTTTCAAAAATAAGCCAAAAAGGCAAGCCAGACAGAGAGAAAGAGAGAGAGAGAGAGAGAGAGAGAGAGAGATGGGGTTTAACGTCCACTCGACACAAAATGATGTATTTCGAGACTAACACATGGTTTAATTTTATTTCAGTAATTCGCTTGCGCGTAGGCGTCTATATCAGTCGGAGGTCCTGGAGAAAACCCACGAGGTTGGACAGGCGACCCTACTCCTTGTCACGTACAACCGGGGAATCGAAACCACGCCAGTTGACTCAATGACAGACTTTATGATACAGCGCGTACGTGCTTACCATTCAGCCACCCACAACCCCCCTAATACATTTTGAATTACATTATAACAAAATTGAAATGGAATGAAATGAAATGGAGTTTAACGTCCTACTCTTCTGCTCCGAACTGGGCTAATGAAGACGGGCATACGTCATACAGTGTGCTATGAGGGAAATGTTGCCCGGACAGCGGCACTACGGTCTACTCTTATATCGAATTCCAACTGTCAAGGGATCTTTTACGTGCACGCCAATGTGTACACGGGACCTCGGTTTTTCGTCCCATCCGAACGACTAGACAGCTGTCCTTGTCAGGCCCTCCGTCCTGCATCACTGATGAACTTTCTCGGCCAAGGCTGGGATCGAACCCCCGACATCCAGGCTAGCGAGCCAGCGTCTTACCCACTTAGCTACCGTGACCCCCCATAAACAAAATTAAAATAATAAATATTTTTGACTTTTGAAATATTTGTTCTGTTGTGCCTTTACCCGCTGTTCAATACGGTACCACATACCCTGGGGTCTTCAGCTCACCAAAGAGCGTGTTCTAAGATACAAATCTGCAAGTGGCAAAATTAAATCACTTGGATCTAGGTCCAGTGTTACTGTTAGGGTTGGGATTAGCGCTAGCCCTGTTTACATCTCGTGACCTTTGACAAACTTGAAGTTGGCCTTAGAAAATAGATCTAACGATAATTTTCATGAGTGGAATGTGCGATAAACTCTTTATGATATTTGTGAATGCTAGGTTCATACTATCATGATTCATGCTACGATTGAAATCGTGGTTTTAACCGCGGAGTAATCGTGATGATTCTATCATATATTGAGGTCAGTCGTAGCAATCGTGTTGATCGTATCCAAACGTATCCAAACGTATCTGCACGAAGCAGATCGTGGACTCAGTTGGGACAATCCTATCGCACGACAATGGGAACCCCGGCATTAGTAAAAGACGATTGTCGGATATTTAGCCAAGATGTGTTAAAAAGATAAATTAAAAGTTCTATTTTTGTTTATTTGCAGGTGTTTTATGATTATATGGCTGATGCACCTGTAGGGATGACGCCATCCGATCAATTTGATGATAAATGTCCACCTGTACCAGAGAACCTGTTAGATGGTGCTTGTGATGCTGTTATATGTAATTCAGATAGAGAATGTTCTGATGAATCGTTTAAATGTTGTTATAATGGATGTACCTATACATGTAGACCTAAAGTTCAACCACCGCCATGTAAGTATATTATACCACCAATACCAAGGTGCTGCGACGTTTGTTGGCTATATGCTAAACTGTATAACCTAGTCTAAACGACTGGATAACCTGCTCTAAATGACGCCTGGCATGGTTCAACTTTCGGCTGTACTTTTTGTTCATTTTTGTTTAGTCTTGGTTAGTAAGGCAATCTGTCCATACTCGTAGGTCCTCCGATTTCTTTATTTAAATAAAATTGTAACACATTATGTTAGCTCTGAAATGGCAGAGTTTGTGCCGTGGACATTAATCCCCATTTCTCTCTTCCCCATCTATTTAACCCATATGTAATGAAACGATAATTAAACACTAAATAAACACTTCTGAACCACTCAGTCAACCATTTGGTATGAAATTCACTGGTATTACACTAAATGGAGACACAATCCAACTATTTTCTCATGGGGGCTCCTGCATGAGAGCATGTCCTTTAACAACAAAGTCGTAACTTCGGACCTCGCCATTCAAATCTCAGGACAGCAGTCCGCGTATTCCTGGCTACGTTTTTCCGGCGTGGTTCTACCTTGTCAGTGATGCAGGACGGAGGGCCTGACAAGAACAGCTGTGTATTCATTCGGATGGGACGAAAAACCGAGGTCCCGTTTACACATTGGCGTGCATGTAAAAGATCCCTTGACAGTTGGAATTCGATATAAGAGTAGGCCGTAGTGCCGCTCTCCTGGCAAAATTTCCCTCATAGCACACTGTATGGCGCATGCCCGTCTTCATTAGCCCAGTTCGGAGCAGAACAGTAGGACATTAAACCCCCATTTCATTTTATTTTCATTTCCTGGCTACGTCATTGGTTGAAGGTCTTACAACTGCACCAATTAACCTCACGATGTATCAATAATATTTGTCTTTAGTTCTTGATTGGCATGTTTGTTTCTTGTGGAAAGTCATGCCGCTTCACTAATTAAACCCATGGTTCAATAAGTTGATTCTGGATTGATTTATTTTTCAGTTGTTGATTGGATTCATGAACCAAGAAGACGACTGAGTTCAGGTAATTAAAACGAAAGTACATGTAGAGTAAACTTGTTACTGGATAATTGTCTATCCCACCTTATAGACTTCTTATACATGACTATTTTCGTGAAATGTATACACGAGTGGCGTTGTTAAGGTGAAATGTATACATGGGTGGCATTGTTGAGCTAAAATGTATACACGAGTGGCGTTGTTGAGGTGAAATGTATACACGGGTGGCGATGTTGAGCTAAAATGTATTTACGAATGGCGTTGTTGAGGTAAAATGTATACACGGGTGACGTTGTTGAGGTGAAATGTATACATGGGTGGCGTTGTTGGCGTGTGATGTATACACGAGTGGCGTTGTTGAGGTAAAATGTATACACGTGTGACGTTGTTGAGGTGAAATGTATACACGAGTGGCGTTGTTGAGCTAAAATGTATTTACGAGTGGTGTTGTTGAGGTGAAATGTATACACGAGTGGCGGTGTTGAGGTGAAATGTATAAAGTATATTATGTTATATTTTCAGGTCGTTCCTGGTTGGTTAATGGTCCAGATACAGAACGAGAAGGTCAGTATTTATTAAATTATGTCTGGACTAATGAAGTCGGTAGATCGCCATAGAGTGTGCTATGAGTGTCATTTTGCCCGTGCAGCAGCATTGCGGCCTACTATTATTCCGAACGACTAGACCCTGGTCTTGTCCCACTGACAAGAGTGAGATAAGCCATGCTGTGTGCTGTGGGGGGGGGGGGGGGGGTATTTGGCTAGGACAACATAGTTTCCGCCTACAAGGTTTCGGGTTCTTTTACATGTACACGGGACCTCGGTGTCCCGTCCTATCTGAAAGACTACACGATGTTTCTTGGCAGGTTCCGCCGCCCCCCACCCCCACCACTGTACATACACATCAGACCTCGGATTTTCGTCCCCATCCGAACGACTACTCACTATTCTTTGGCACCCCTCCCCCACCCCACGTCCTTCACCACTCCTAGGCTTCGAAATCCAAAGTGCCATTCCCATTGTGGAGCTCCTCTGGAATCTATGGAATCTACCGTGGTCCGGGTTAGAAACGCAAGTGTGGAAGAGTTGTCTCCCTTTAAGTAGCGTTCATTGTGAATATTATTATATAACTGCATGCTATACATTTTATTAGCGGTACATTTCATATCCTCGCCAATCCAAATAATTATATTTTGCAAAATGCATGTGACCTGCTCATATAAGGTAAATTAGGCGATAACGTCACTGAGTAGGCATAAATGGCCGCCAGTAATGGCGTATGTTGTGTTGTGTTTGTGAACTACCCTCTTCTTATTTATTATGAATGGGAAATGGAATTCCGCAAAGCAGCTATTTAATACACGAATTTTATGGCCGTACGCATGTTCTGACATGGTTTACAATGCCTCTGCTTTGATCTAGGTGTAGACCGGGAACAATCCACGAGATTCTACAGCCTAGTTTCGTCCTTGTCAGTGGTGGAGAACAGTGTCTGATCGTTCAAATGGGTATGGGCGGACCCCTCCCCACACATACACACAGCTAAGGAAAGATTTTGCAAAACTACACTTTTTATGACAAAAGTGTCACGTTCGTGTGCTTTTTGCTTTAATATCACATGATGGGATGGGACGGGCATTCAGTGTGATCCTATTAATTCATAATAAAAATTGACGCCAAACGGGGTGTTGGATTTCTCACTTTAATATTCTCAGTGTGTATGTATGCCTACGTAATTGGAGACGATGATGGGATCATGTATTGTCAACTGTCAAATTTTCTTAACAGGACCCTGGCAAACCCCCTCCTGCAAGAATTCCTGGATCCGCTCCTGATAAGACATAAAAACGAGGCCAAATCTATACCATTGGGAAAAGATCATCAGGCAGTTAGAAAATGTAAACATTCACTCATAGCACACTGCAGAAATAACGTGTTCTGGGCACAATAACCCTTATCCAACACTGCATGGCGTATGACGGTCTCCATTAACACAGTTGGTGCAGAAAGCTACAAAAATGAAATGAAATGGGGTTTAACGTCCTACTATTCTGCTCCAAACCTGGATAATGAAGACGGGCGTACGCCATGCAGTGTGCTATGAGGGAAATTTTGGCCGGACAGCGGCACTATACGGTCTACTCTTATATCGAATTCCAACTGTCAAGGGATCTTTTACGTGCACGCCAATGTGTACACGGAACCTCCGGTTTTCGTCCCATCCGTACGACTACACAGCTGTCCTTGTCAGGCCCTCCGTCCGGCATCTCTGACAAGGGGCAACCACGCCGGAAATTCTGGATTAACATTCTCGGCCAATGCAGGGATCGAACTCTCGACCTCCAGACTAGCGAGCCAGCGTCTTACTCACTTAGCCACCTTGACCCCCCCCCCCCAGGAAGCCACATAGCGCCCTCCCACTTACGCTTTTATCACCTTATGTTTCAGTTGAAATCTGTAGTACCTCACCAGTAGAAATAGACGAAGATCCGTTAATGTGTCCCCATGGTTACTACTGTAATATCGAAGATTATGGTAACCCCAAGAAGGGAATTCCAAATAGAGGACACTGTGTAAAACAAGCAGACGATCAAAAATTAGGTGAGAATGGTTTATCTATAGCAGTACTTTTTCGCCCATATATCATAGATAACTTAAGTTATTATATAGTTTTTGTGACGATCTTAGTTATCTGGAAGACCTAGATAACTAGGCCCAATTAAGTCAACGCCCGCGAGAGAGATAGAGAGAGAGAGAGAGAGAGAGAGAGAGAGAGAGATTTACATTTTAATAATTCGACGGAGCGCATGGGAATCATAGAATTGGAAGGAGACTTGGGTACCCGAATAGGAATTACGAGGTTCGGTAGGTCAACGTACAGGCCTGAGATCGAACACCTGACATGTAGTCATAACATAACATTGGTCGAGCAATTTCCTCGGCATTTCCAGGCTGGTTTCCCTTTGTCAGCGTCTAGTCGTTTGGGCTGGACAAAATGAGTTCCACTCTTGTATTTTTGGTGTTAGTGTTTTAAACATAGTAATCGTACTCTGTCGCGTAGATGACACACTAGACTTCAGAGTCCACCCTTATATTCTTGGTGTTAGTGTTTAAAAAATAGTAAGCATACACTGTCCCCCACACGACACACTCTTGATTTCAGAGTTCACCCTTATATTCTTGGTGTTAGAGTTTTAAACATAGTAGGTCTAAGCATATCCTATCCCGTGCACGACACACTCAAGATTTCAGAAAGAGGATGAACTCACAGAATTAGAGTATCAAAAATGGTTGTCTATTTCAGATACCATAAAAGGAGATTTGGCTGATACGGGTATTACAGACGACAGTGACGACATGATATACAAAAAACATGGCTGCCTTCTAGACGATCAGTTAATACTGGAACAGGCTACTATACAGCTAGAAGGACAAATCTGGTAAATTACGTCATTTATTACGTCATTAGCCCACTATCGGGGTAGTATCGTAGATAATAATGCCGGAAACGGAAATTCCTTCCAAGACAATGGTCCGCACAAACGAATAACGCAAACCGGAAATAACGAAAACAGTCCAACCCTCATTCGTTCTCACTAGATACAATTGGGTTCAATTTTTGGTCTTTATTCATCATTTACAATCCTTGTTTCATTGCCTGGGCGGTTTTTATGATGTCGCCCGGACTGTTTATGATCAATGCAATTCAAACCACCTGCGTGTTAAAGATGCATGCATTATGTAAGAGCTAAATCTGCCTATTACAGGTCTTTTTATTACTTCAAATGTTATATAAATTTATTTGATAGGTCCACATTTCATTGTAGGTATAGTATGTCGTCACCCTGTCCGTCGGTACATCAACAATTGGTTTGTGAACGCAATAATGGCTAGAGTTTTTGACGGATTCTTTTCAAATTTGGTGTGAGGCATCGTGGTCATGAGAGAACAAACCGTTTCAATTTGCCACGTTCCGTGGCTTTGCGTTCCACAGAAGGCTATTGTTTTCGACGGATTAAGCATTCGGGTTATGAGAGGATGAACCCTATCGAAAAATGCGCAGCCGTAGGTTTTAACATATTTCTTTTTACATTAGGATGGAAGCAGTGTGGTCATAAGAGGATAAACTCTAGATATAAGAATCCTTTAAAGATCCTATAGAGCCTTATCAAATTTGCTCAACATCAAAGTTTTCCTTTCGGATAAGCTTCAGTTTAGACAAAGCTGCCGAGTGAGCGTATTAGAACACCCGCGCTATTTAATAATAATTTAGCGTTAAAATGGATATTCGAGACTTTGTTTATTATTTTAGCAACTGCATTTGACCATCGAATACTCATAAATTTGCTCAGAATAAAGTTATATATATAAATGTTTTCTTCATTTCAGTCATTGTAAATCTGGTGAACTGGTGTGCGAAGATGAATAATAAAAGAAGGCCGTGCCACTCTATGACATTCCAAATATTTGAAGCAATTACTCTATAAGACATGATCAATGACGGACTGAAGGTCATGACTGGAGGGGGGGGGGTCGCTGGGCCTAGCCCAAACACCTTAGGGGTTGTCTCCCCTGGGCGCGGAAGAATATTAAAACAAGAATAACTGTAAATTGTGCTTTTTCAAGTATATCCAAAGTGCAAAACCTCCAGAGATGCTTTGCTTATTAATTTATTGATCAAAAACGACGTAAATTCAAGAACATTATCTTCTATAGGTGTCCCTGAACTTTTTATAATCACAGGTTTCTTCTCGGTTTACCCTTGGATATGATGTCAGTGCGATTGTATGTTTGAATTAAAAAAAAGAAAATAATTGATCGAGGAACAATGTTTGAAAATCGAATCTATTGAAATGTTGGAAGGGGGCGTTTTTATACGTAATATAGTAATTCTCTATAATTATTGTACTTTTCAATCAACTTAATGAGTAAAATGAAATGGGGTTTAACGTCCCAGTGTTTTTCTTTTACATCCGGGCAAATGAAGGCGGACATAAGGAACGAGAGAGAGAGAGAGAGAGAGAAATGGGGTTTAACGTCCACTCGACACAAACTAGATCATTTCGAGACTAACACATGGTTCAATTTTATTTGAATAATTCGCTTGCGCGTAGGTGTCTTTAGCAGTGGGAGGAAACCGGAGGACCCGGAGTAAACCCACGAGGTTGGACAGGCGACCCTATACTTGTCACGTACAACCGGGGAATCGAAACCCCGTCAGTTGACTCAATGCCAGACCGTATGATACAGCGCGCGCGTGCTAACCATTCGGCCATTCAACCTCCCACATAAGGAAAGTCATTGTCAAAATTGTCAAAAACTATATTCGTATATATTTTATAGTGAAACAACAAGAACCACGCCGCCATTTTATAGAAATGTTTATTTATATCCATTTGACTCCACTGTTGTCGATCGGTATCAGCTGTTTGACCACGTTGAGGGTACAATAGAACTGTTTTATAACTATTATAACTGTTATTATTCATTATCAGCTGTTCAACAACCCACGATGACCCGGCAAAACGGTATGACCTGCTTATTCGTCTGGTGTTTACGGGTCACTATGGCAATCTTATCTCTGGTGTCTAATAACAGCGCCGTATCAATAGCCAGGTATTGCATGGAATACAAACTCGACACAAACTAGGTCATTTCGGGACTAACATATGGTTCAATTTTATTTCAATAATTCGCTAGCGCGTAGGGTCTTTAGAAGTGGGAGGAAACCGGAGGACCCGGAGTAAACCCACGAGGTTGGACAGGCGACCCTATACTTGTCACGTACAACCTGGGAATCGAAACCACGCCAGTTGACTCAATGACAGACCTTATGATACAACGCGAGCGTCCTAACCATTCGGCAATTCAACTCCCCTGCAATGGACAAGCTTATTATGTTAATACAAATAGGGAGAGAAATGAAATGAAATAAAATGAAATGGGGTTTTAACATCCTACTGTTCTGCTCCGACTGGGCTAATGAAGACGGGGGCATACGCCATACAGTGTGCTATGAGGGAAATTATGGCCAGACAGCGGTGCTAATGCCTACTCTTATATTGAATTCCAACTGCCAATGAATCTTTTACGTGCACGCAAATGTATACACGGGACCTCGGTTTTTTGTCCCTTCCGAACGACTAGACAGCTGTACTTGTCAGGCCCTCCATCTTGCACAACTGACAAAGGGAAATCCGGCCAATGAGAGAGGGATAGGGAGAGACAGGGAGGGGTTCATTGTCAAATTTGACACTTCAAGGAAGGCTTGATGAAAACTGCCGCGTGCTGGTTTATCCTATCCATGTTTGCTTTCCTATTGGTTCTTGCATACGATTTACTAATTAGCGTAACTTTGCTTTAGTGTGTTACGTTTAATTGATCAGAGATGATGTTTAATTGATCTGATTAACCAATCAGCGTTGGTGTTTCTAGTGGGTTACTACAGTTTCGTGCACCTCACGCCAAAAATTCGCCGTAACAGACCGTTTCATTCGCTAATCCCTCACATGTCGGAGTATTAATTGAGCAATTACTCATTATTAAGAGAAATGGGGCCGTCAGATAAGCCGCCTATATTATGAACTGTTTATGTTCATGTGTAGGCAATTGGCCTGTTATTAACATACACTGGTTACCTCTAATAAAACAGCAGGGCATTTCCGCTGTTTTGTATTGTTTCTCAATATCCCCTACTTTTTTTAAGAGTATATATAAACCACGAAAGAAAGAGAGAGAGAGAGAGAGAGAGGGGGGGAGGGGGGGTAATATTTGGTAACCTGTTTATTTTAGCTGCAAGACCTGGATGACGAATTGTAGCATTAGTAGGTTATCTATTGACATACTTAGATTGAACGTTGAGCTTAAAATCACAGCTAATGTGGTTTCTATAAGTACATTTGCTGTAAATAGAACAGATACTAAAAGTCATACGAAACATACACTGTCTGTCTACAATTAGCTCCGCTTGAGAACAGACACTAAGCTAGCTGACCGACATTTTAATTCCTAAATCGACGAGTATATTTCGAGAATTTTGAGAGTTTATATTTGGCTCTCATTTAATAAAATTGAAAATGTTTAATTAATTAGTCATTTTTTTGTATAACAGATGTGAACCGGAGTAGGACTGCATTACAAAACAGTACATTAATTGTTGGATATGGTAGCCATTTATTCTAGAAGTAGAGTAGATAGTTTTCGGTGTGAAAGAATGGTTTAAAGTGTCTAATCCTCATTTGAGGGGTCTCAAATCCCCTGCAAACTACATTATTGTGAAAGTTGGGCCTTCGAAAGGAATATTAGCCCAACAATTGCTCAATTTCGATCATTATTTACAAAGATATGATGAATTGAAAATCTTTCAACATTCGACATCGCCCTCCATATATGATATAATCAACATCACCCTGCGCAATCTAGGATTATGGCTGGAATCTTTTGATGGGCATCTTTTTAATCCAGTTAGATCCAAGCAGGAGATTATCTACCGTTGATATTTCGATTTTGTTTTCTTAAAGATGCATTATGTAAGATTTTAGATACAGAGCTGCCTAGCTTCGCCATTTTTAAATTAAATCATTAAATGACGATCGTAATTTAATCTGTTTAAATCTCTGCCATCCGATACTCTAGAGTGTTGACAATAGGCTTGTCATGTGAATAGTTATCTAAATAAGAGTTTATACGTTTCAAGTCTAAAATAAAAACCTGCAAAAGCCAATTTAGCTCTTGAATAATGCATCTTTAATTAAATGTTAAATAATAATAAATTTGAGTAATATTAGCGTAGATTAAACTGTGAACAAAATTAGATATTGTCTGAAATTTGCAACTGACGATCAGTGTATTTAGTCTATTAGGGTCAGTTTGTATTTATCAAGGTATCGAACAAAACCAGTTTAAACAAAATCTTGTATCTGACAAATCTGAATGAAAGACGCAGTATACTATGGAGGGGAAACCCTGCCATAATTTCAACTGCTAGCTCTCAACTGTTATTCATGTAAATGCTGAATTCTTATTTCTAACTTTTGAATCTCAACTTTTATTTATGTGACTTCTTATTTTTATATATTATACAAATGGGTATCAATAAACTAATTACCTATTTACAGACCAAAGCCATTGAAAGACATGGTGATATGGTGTTAACCATTAGTCAGATCTAATACCTAAGAAAATATTTATCATTAGGGAACTCTTAAGAAAAGGAAATCTACAATTCATCCGCAGTTTCGTCAGTAAATCGTCACCAACTGCGGATGAATTATAGATTTCCTTTTTTTAAGGGTTTCTTTAAACATTTCTTTAATTTCTTAAAACATTTCTTTAATTTCTCAATTTCTCAAATTTTCGAATATTTCTCAAATTTCGAATATTTCTCAAATTTCGAATATTTTTCAAATTTCGAATATTTCTCAAATATCGAATATTTCTCAAATATCGAATATTTCTCAAATTTCAAATATTTCTCAATTTTCGAATATTTCTCAAATTTTTATTCGCGCGGTAAAACTGTCACAATTCTAGTTCTGATTCTAACACTAGATGGCCATAGTTGTTTGTGTTTTCCTTCACAGCAGTCAATGCCGAAATAATGAATATATTATATTGTAAGTTAGAACATGAAAGTTAGAAATAAGAATTGAGCATTTACATCAATAAAGTTTGGATTTAGAAGTTGGAATTATGGCAACGTTTCTCCTCCATAATAAACACACCCCTTATCTAAATGTAGCCAACATAAAGTTCCATGTCACCTTGGCCTCGATCGTTTAAATGGATATTAGTTATTGTTGAGTATATGGAATAAATGGGGTATAACATCCTAATTGTCTGCACCAAGGGGAATAATGATGACGGACACAGCAGTATGCTAGGAGGGCAATTATACCCGGAAATCAGCGCGTCGGTCGATTTGCTGTTCATCGAATTGCAACTGCCAAGTGTTCTTTAACGTGCACGCAAAAGTGATCACGGAACCCCAGTTGACGAAACACACAATAGCCTCTCAACTCGAATGTTTTAGGTTAGAATCCCGACTTGGAGCAACAGAGAGATGGGTTTAACGTCCACTCGACACACACTAGGCCATTTCGGGACTAACATATGATTCCATTTTATTTCAATAATTCGCTAGTGCGTGGGGTCTTTCGCAGTGGGAGGAAACCGGAGGTTGGACTGGCGGCCCTACTCCTTATCACGTCACTTGACTCAATGACAGACCTTCTGATCCGGCCACAACCCCACCCCCAGGTTTTACATTTGTTAGGCGTGGTAATCGCATACCCGAGAATAAAGACGGACAACACAAGTTGTGCATATGAAATATCCCGTGACTGTTAGTATTCGATAACTTGACAAAATTGCACATGTAAACATGTATTAGACTCAAAATGACCGAATTATTATTACCAGCTGAGTAAAAACAAAATGACCGAATTATTATTACCAGCTGAGTAAAAAAAAAATGACCGACGTGTTTTACGTGTAGGATAAAGCATGAGACTGGGGTTATGCTGGGGAAAGAAAGACTGAAGAAAATAACCCGAGAAAAAGAAAAACCGAGGCCAACAGGCCTTTTTTTCTGAAGTCTTTCTTTCCCAGCATAACCCAAGTCGAGGACCTTTATCTTGCTTATACATGTACGTAAAATGAGAGCATCCCAGAATTCCAGTAAGAAAAACCTTATATCATGTTTTCTTATGGGAAATAAAAACCGATCCTGGAAGAATAACCAGTTACAGGTTTAAAGAAAAGCTTTCAGAAGAATAGCCTCAAATTCCTCTGTATATATTCAGACCGCAATGTCTTCCGGGCATAGACTATCCCAAAGATCAAAGAGATTTACTGTTATAGGTTTATAACAGATGAGCAAAAATGAAATGTCGAATTATACAACGTGTTAGTCTCATAATGTCAGAACAACAATAAAATATGGCTGTCTACATGGCTTCGTTAAAACCTAGTGGGTTTTCCCCGGGTCCTCCGATGTGTTCTTACTGTTAAGGACTACTACGCGTAATTCAGTATTTGAAATAAAATGATAACACAGTCATGTGTCACTGAGTCAAGTGGCGTGGTTTGAATTCCATACATGTACTTGATAAGGTGTAGGGTCGTATGTCCAACCTCGTGGGTTTTCTCTGCCTCTGCGCGAGTTGTATCGAGTGGACCGTAAACCCATCTCTTTCTACTGTTAAAACCCTTACGCTCAAGCCAATTATTGAAATAAAACGAAATCATCTCTCTCTCTCTCTCTCTCTCTCTCTCTCTCTGGCGTCTTTAAAAGATTGGTCTTATCTACTGACACGCGCTTAGTAGCTTAGATAAATCTAAACCCGCTACTCCTTAAAACCCCTTCCATTAATACCGGACACATTAAGGCGTTTTATCAACTGAAGTCACTCCAACCCCCACTTATGATCAAGTGTTGTTGTGCGATAACAGATTGCAACAGAAGCCGTCATCAGTAGAATTCCCAGATTGAGTGGATTTAGAGCAAACCCTCGTAGTTAAAAGAGCAAAAGTCTCTCCTTTATCTTTAACCGTTAAAAAAACACCATATGTCCGATTTCCCAAAACTTACTGAATTATCAGAGATATCTAAAAGACAACATTAGTTAACCATGTCGTCAAAACATTATGGACGTTTATCAAAATTCGTGTAAAATATTTGTTAAGTTGGTTAGCAAAATTATGTATTTTCATATAACTGTGCTAGTTGTTGCCTCAGCGTTTCCGTTGGTTCGGATTCTGGATCGTGTTGGTGAAGATACCCAGAATGATGCTGGAGACAGCCAAGTTTTTCAAGAGCGGTATGTAAGGTCTGCTCGCTCTGACGATAGAAATGATCCCACGTCGAGAGCTGGAGCGGTACAGCAGGGAGATACCCTACCAATTGGCGAAGCAAACCAAGTGTTTCCTAAGCATTCTGTACGGTCAGGTCGCTCCAGCAGAAGGAAAGCTCACAGGTCGCGAATACGAAGTAGACTTCGGAAAGATAGTCGGAGTAATGGAAGGAGTTTTCAAGAACATTATTTAACGTCAGTGCGCTCTAACAATAGACCTGATCATCCATCGACGTCCAGAAATGGAATTGAGCAAGTGACGATGCGGACATTGAATGGTTTCATACTGGAACATACCAGTTATGATTCCTACAAAAGTCAACACTTTCTAGAAAATAGAATTCTCCGACATCGTCGTCGACACCAGAGTTATTCGGAAGTGGAGACCACAAACAAAGCCCCGGCTATGTACGAAGGCTTAGAAGAAGTGATTAAAGTTAAGCACAATCCAGTGAATTATTCCCATAAATTCGTCGAATATGACGAAGATGATGAAATTGATGCCAGCGAGCCGGATATAGATTTGGACAGGTCGAAGGGAAAAGGGTGTCACAGGGTGGAAGGTTACAAACACAAATGGGTAACCACTGTACATACATGCGCAACGAGTTGGTTTGCAGATGACATTCGCGCGCTCTGTATGTCACAATTTAATGCTCAGTCGACCTTGAACAGTTTCGATATTGACATGCTACCCGTGCAAACTGTAAAAGGAACTGTGTATAAAAACAGATACTGCGCAATATGCAACTACGATTTCAAACATAAACATTGGAAGATGGAGATCCAATGCGACCAGCCCACAAATGTTGTGTTTTTGAGTGGCGCTAGAAGTATTAACATACTGGAAAAATTTCACAATAGTTCGTTATGTAGCGTTAGAGTTACACCCCCTTATAATAATTATCAAATCAAGTCATGCAGACCACGCTCTAAACGGAACGGTCAGGAACCATGGAGGGCATTTCCGCCTGCTGATAGTGACGCTTATCCCATTTCCTTCTCTGTTTTGATGAATTTTGGTTTTGACGGGAAGACTCACATCATGTTTACTTCAACCGAAGTGAATAAAGTCCAGGCAACCACTAAGCAGTGTAAGGAAGGTGAAATCTTAGACCCCGGCACGAATGTATGTCGAAGAGTCACATGTTCTCTGGGGTTCATTTTGAAAGATGAAACGTGCGTGCGAACCAATATGACGGACACATACAGCGACTCCGATATAAACAATATCGCTAACATCACTTCTCTTACCAATCTTAATAGCATCGCTGTCATTTCTTTGGAAGTGAACGTCACCTACGACGACCTGGGACTAGCTCTCTACGCTCTGGAATTCAAACCTCTCATGGTGAAGAAGATCGCTAAGTTGTTGAACATCAGTTCGGATAGGATTCAAAACTTTACCATCGAGTTTGTCAATCAATCCGAATCGTCTGGACATCACATCCGCGTGCAGACCATGACACAGGAAGCGTTCCAAAGTCAGGATTCTAAATCTGGAAGTGATGGCGATATTTTGCAAGTCGTCACGCAATATAAAGATACGGATACCGATCCTGGCATGGACGCTTTTGACGAAAATGATGATTCAGAATCTGAGCAATACGAAGGAATACGACCAGAGAACAGTTCTGATCACGTGCAGCCCAACATTACGGTAAAGGGTTTCGCTGCTAAGAACGTCAACGAATCCGACTTCATTAATAAATCGGTAACAGAACGGCCCTCGGAGAAGAATATTACAACCAATGACATACCTGCAAAATTACTAGAGACGACAAATCAGCTGGAGCATACAAGTGCGAAACCAGATCATGTAACGGATATATCGGGGAGTACAATGACACACGACGAATCAACAATTCCATCTCGAAGGCTCTCTGCCTATTCCGCGCACCATCGGAAGCATAACAAAACGGCCGATCACAAAATCCTCAACCCACAAATCCTTCGAATGGCCTTCATTCTTCTTCCGACGAGGAAAGCGTCCAAAGAGTCAATATCGGAGGTAATAAAGAAAATGAACTCGATGCTGAACCAGAATACCTTTAAAATTGACATGAATGGGACTACTTTTCACATTGTTAATGTCGATGACAAGGTAGCCGCGGAGGAAAAGACTTTCTGCAAATTTGGAACAAAAGATATATTCTTTGACAATGAATTCCAAGTGTGGAAAGTCAACGGTACCGATGAGAATACCACGACAACCAAGGTGTACATTCCCTCCACGCACACTATATATAACCCTGGGGAATATGACATGACGGTGCTGGTCCAGGGCAGCTTGGGTACCGAAACCAACGTCACAGATGTTGCTGGTTACGTGTTTGTCTGCATTAATCCCAGAATTGTGACACGGAATTGTGCACGGATAACAATCTTACAAGAGGAGTACACCCTGTACACAAACAAGTCCATTATGTTTTACAATGAGATCTATAGCATGACACAGTATGCTGTTCTTGACGAAACGGTGGGAACTTTAGTAATCTGCGTCCCTGAGGAATACTACAAGATCGAGAAACAGCAGCAAACTAAGCACTGGATTGTCCAAGAGTGTTACCATGGTTACGAGGATTTCATTAAAACCGAAGGATACCTTACAATAGTGATTGGCAGACTGTCAATAATTGCGCTTTCCTCCGTGCTGCTTACGTATTTCTTGTTTAAAAGTTTGCGCAACCTTCCCGGGATCAACACGATGAATTTGACCCTGGCGTTGCTGATCGGAGAGATCCTGTTCATCGAAGGCGAATCCACGGCCGTGCCTTGGGTTTGTAAATTTGTAGCGGTATCCGTGCATTATTTCTTCCTGGCCTCGTTTTTCTGGATGAACGTGATGGCGTATGATGTGTCCAAAACATTTGCCAACAAGTGTATCCTGACGCGGATTCGGAAAACTCGTAAATTCATACCCCGATATGCCTTGTATGCGTGGGGCTCTCCGGGTGTGATTGTCGCCGTCTGTCTCATTTTCGAATTTAACGGTGTCACTGATAAGTTACACATCGGTTATGGAGAGAGTACACTGGTCGATGTTACATACGATAACGTCACAAGACCACCAGATGGCGTCATTTCAAATAACAGTCAAGTGAAGCATTCGTCACATTCCGTTGGTTGCTGGATACAGAGCCCCGTTGCAGCCCTGGTAGCGTTCGGGGCCCCCGTTCTCACACTTTTGGTTATAAACATTTTTTTCTTTGTTCGAACAATAATTTGTATACAGGCGACCGCTAAACTTGCACACATCAATACCAGAAGAACGTTCAGTCACATGACTGGCAGAAATGACGTCATGCTGTATGTCCGGATGTCAACTGTTATGGGTTTCACATGGTGTTTTGGGATAGCATCGTCGATCGTCAGCGGATTGTTCACCCCACCCAATCGTACTGTTTGCTTATCACTTCACATTTTGAGTATTTTGTATACAATTTGTATGTGTGCTCAAGGAATCTTCATATTTTTTGCCTTTGTGTTTAAGAAACGTGTCTATTATCTGTATCGAGGACTGTTCAGAAAAATTAAACTATCTTTTGAGAGACGCCGATCAACTAAATCACCCTCTTCTTCTTCAACCTCGGTGAATTCAAATTTCACGAATATATCTCATATATCGCGATAAAAATAAGTGGACTCAACCTGACAAACACAACTACGTTATGGTAACGTTAAAATAACGCCAAACTTTGATTGATAAAGTTGTTGTTACTACTTCCAGATAAATAGGATTACGTTATGCCACGCATTGGCGAGGTCGAACTGTGACACGTGACAATGTTCTTTAGTGCATTGACTTTTACGACACAGTGGAATGAAATATATGCCATTGTTTTTTTTAAACAAATACTAATTAAAAATGACAAATCATTACACGTGTCACTAACCACAGGTGCAATCCGTTATTACTAGATACTAACTAGAAATAAGCATAAACCATCCCCACCATAACAAACCAGTGCCAGACTTAATTTACAAACTTTTAACTATGTTAAATTACCAAAGGACAACTTTGCGGGACCCTTGGTTGAGCCCGGTGTTTAGTGTCATTTGATGTTTCAAGACACACAAAGTCTGTCTGGACTATTGGATATAGAGTTCAAAGTTCACTGTGTAACTAAGCCGATGCCGGAAGTGGATAAAAATACCCGCATCCTTTCAAAACGCACAAAATCTGTCTACGTGATTGGACGATTCGAATTCGTAATGTTACTGATATTGGTCGTTGTATTACTAACCTAAAGACGTATATTTCAGAAGGCTTTTACCCAGTGATCTGTTTAATAGATAGATTACCCAGGGCTATTTTAATTTCTAATTATTTTATCTCGATAATAATTTTATTTATATATTTTATCAAGTTATCTCGTTTTATTATGTAAATTTAATATTGTTATGCTTTATAATAATACATCTTTGTATGATTTGTGTTTTAATCAGATTGTATCCATTATGGTCCCACTGCCGTGTAGGTTGAGTGTTAGAAATGAAATGAAATGAAATGGGGTTTAACCACCGTGATCCCCGGTTGAGTGTTAGAGAGAGAGAGAGAGAGAGAGAGAGAGAGAGAGAGAGAGAGAAATGGGGTTTAACGTCCACTCGACACAAACTAGGTCATTTCGGGACTAACATATGGTTTGATTTTATTTCAATTATTCGCTTGCGCATAGGGGTCTTTAGCAGTGGGAGGAAACCGGAGGACCCGGAGAAAACCCACGAGGTTGGACAGGCTACCCTACTCCTTGTCACGTACAACCGGGGATTCGAAAACACGCCAGTCGACTCAATGACAGACTTTATGATACAGCGCGCGCACGCTAACCATTCAGCCATCCAACACCACCCCCCCCCCCGGTTGAGTGTTAGAATTACTCACAGTTCCACATGTGCACAGAGCAGGCTTTAGTTTGAAATGGTGCGCTATGTAAATTGTTTACCGCTAATTAAAGGGGCATTATGGAAGATTATATAAAGAGTTGACAGTTCGCGCTATAATAGTTACAAAATAGATAACGTAAATAGAAAATGCTGAAAATTTCAGTCAACCTGCTCCACTCTAAACTGTTTTTGAATTTTAGGCTAACCTCGATCACCATTACTAAAGTCGTCGGTGGGAAAAAAAAAATTCTGGATTATTCACTTTTACGCTTAATTTTTTTTTTTTTAAACAATGTATTTCGATCCGCTAAATATCGCTGTCTAGCGATGGCATCAAGAGTTGATTATGGTCTGGACAAGTTAATTATTGTCTAATTAATAATTTAGATAACATTTCAGGCCTAAAGAAAAACCTGCAATAGGCAGATTTAGCTCTTGCATAATGCCTGTTTAATGAATTATATACAACAATGATGACTTTAATGGCATAACTTAGTAAATGTCATTGGTGAATAAGACCCCATTAGTCTGACATGCTCGCAATGTATTATATTGTATATATTATATCAATGGCTACAATCACTGTGTTTATTACACGGTAACTGTATTGTTAATTGTACATATATACATTTATTTCACTGGTGATAATTCTCTTTGGTTTTTTGCTTGAAAACAGCTTTTGTTAAAACGTCGCAAAATGAAATGGGGTTTAACGTCCTACTTTTTTGCACCGGTTAGGCTAATGATGACGATTATTTGCCATACTGTGTGCCATGAGGAAAATTTTGCCCGGACAGCGGCGCAAAGGCCTACTCTTATTTCGATTTCCAATTCACCAATATGTACATGTTCCTCGGGTTTGCGTTCCATCCGAACGACTAGACACTGTGCTTGTTCGGCCCTCCACCCTGCACCCACGCTGGAAAATTCCGTGGACGTTTCGCGACTAACACCGGTATCGAATCGAACCTCGAACCTCCTGGTCACAGCGCCTTACTCACTGACTAACAGAGCCTTACTCACTGGGTCACAGAGCCTGAGTCACAGAGCCTTACTCATTGACTCAAAACGGCTTACTCACTGATTCACAGTGCCTTACTCACTGACTCACAGCGCCTTACTGACTCACAGCGCCTTACTGACTCACAGCGCCTTACTCACTGACTAACAGAGCCTTACTCACTGGGCCACAGAGCCTGAGTCACAGAGCCTTACTCACTGACTCACAACGGCTTACTCACTGACTCACATCACCTTACTCTCTGAGTCACAGCACCTCACTCATTCAGTCACAACGCCTTACTCACTGAGTCACGGCGTTGTCTAGAAACGTTGCCTTGTAATAAACACAGTTATTATTTTAGTAGATAAATTATTTTTAGGTTTTAGGATATATAATTATTTATTTATTGTTTTTAAACTTTCCGAAATATTGTTTCTTATTTTTATAGAGTGTATATGCACCGTGAATAATGTGTTAATTAACAGTTAAATCAACCCGAGTAATTGCCCTCGTCTATTTATAGCAACTCTCTCTCTCTCTCTCTCTCTCTCTCTCTCTCTCTCTCTCTTTTCTCCCTTTTTGCATGCCCCATTTTGTTGATTTTTTGGTCTAGAATGGACAAAGAGGGTTTGAATAAACATTTTCTGTCAGGATTTGGTAAATATTCATGATTTTGAGGCGGAAGGATAACAGGGTTATCAGGTTGGCTACGGCGATATATACGGCAACTAGTTACATGTTTTTAGTATGCTTCTTCAAGTTTGTGTATCTCAAAATTTTGGTGGTCAACCTCATACAAATTTTAGTGCAAGGACATGACCATTTGTTCCTCTGTCTGTAGTGAAAAGCATTCAGCCCAACGAAAATTTGGGGAAAAGTTGGAGGTGGGCAAAGAGGCCAGAATTAACATTGAAGTCAGTGGGGAAATTAATGGTGGTCTGCCTCCATATATATGCATATAATAGTGAATTATCGCCCTTGATTTGGTCAACAACGTTGTCCTCCATAGTGAAAGATTCAACACCGAGCCTAATAACTAGAAAATAGACCCCATGACCTAATTTGTTGTTTATAATGTTAGAGGGTTGTTGACAATCTTAAAAAGTTTAAAATAGATTTGTAGGAGATGTTGACTGAACATTTATCTAAGTTATGTGTTTAAAGTATAGATTTTTTAAAAGGTTACAATGGGGGTGCTCGGTTATCAGATTTGCAATCCATTGGATTTTTAAAAAGGTTACAATGGGGGTACTTGATTATCAGATTTGCAATCTAGTGAAGCAGAATTTAGTCCTGGCATAGTTGAGGTGGCGTGAGTAGAATCATGACGTAATTAAACACAACGAATATGTTTCAGCTGTCATGGTTGGTTACAATATTTTCTTATGAGGTCGGCGCATGCGTTGTGGCCCAGAAATCCACCTTTTCAATAGAATGTCACTATTTTGTGGAATGAGAGAATTCAATTATGGAACGTTTAATCGAGTATCCCTAATGTGAAGCACCTTTAGTTTAATATTTCTTGTGACCCCCCCCCCCCCGCCCCGCCCCTCCTCCACCCACAGCACCATCCACCACCTCCTCCGCCAATGATTTCCGTGCTTTAAGAAATCTACCCAAGAAATGTACATTGATATCTATAAACGTATCTAATTTATATGTTTTAAAAAAAAGTTTTATGTTCCATGAAGTTTAAAAAATATGAAGCACCATATTTCTTGGGTCCCCCTACTCCCTTCCTTCCCCAATCATTTATGTGTTTTTTATGTAAGTAATCTACCTAATATTAGACCTAAAGACTTGCCTAATTTATATGTTTTAATTTAATGTACCTTGGAAGTTTATACCACTCCTTTATTTTAATACTTGGTACCCCCACCCCACCCCTAATCATTTATGATTACAATTTACACTTATTTATAAAATATAGTCCCTTAATGTGATAATAAAGACTATACATACGAGTTAGTGTGTTGAGGATTTTGTTTTTGTTCTGTTTTAAATATCAAATGTAGTCACACATACACGGTTAGTTTTTAATTTTAATATGAGGTGTATCATACATGCCGATAAAATACAATATACTGTTCTGCTCCGACTGGGCTAATAAAGACGGGCATACGTCATACAGTGTGCTATGAGGGAACATTGGCCCGGGCAGCAGCACTATGTCATACTTTTATATCGAATTCCAACTACCAAGGGATCTTTTACGTGCATTCCAATGTATACACGGGACCTCGGTTTTTCGTCCCATCCGAACGACTAGACAGCTAACCTTGTCAGGCCCTCCGTCCTGCACCACTGACAAGAGGAAACCACGTCGGAAATAACATCCAAGGCCCTGTTGATATATTTTGAGGGAGCCATGATGTATCGGTGACTATGCTGCTGGCTCACTCACCAGGGGGTTCTGGTATTGGTCGAGAAAGTTTCTCGGGATTTATCTTCCCCTTGCAGGGACACGCATCTATTCTTTCGGATGGGACGAGACACCGAGATTCCGTGAATGTCACTGACAGCAAGTTATTAAATATCCACTGACAGAAAAAAAAGATGCAGCATATTGGTGTGCTACATGGTGTGTTCAATTACAATAAACTCTTTCCCCACCTCTCAACTCCAACCCCACACAAGAAAATAAAGGAAACGAGCGTGACATACCGTTAAAGATTTCTGAAAATATGGGCAATTAACAAACCGAGGTCCTGTGTACACATTGGCATGCTCATAAAAGAAACGTATTCCAACTACCCACGGAACCTCGGTTTTCGCCCTATACGAACGACTATAGATTGTTCCTTGTCAGACCCTCCGTCCTGCACCACTGACGGGGGGGGGGGGCGAAAACCTTTATGGAGCTGTATAAAACCTTTATGGAAATGTATAAAATCTTTACAAAGATGTATAAAACCTTTACAAAAATGTGTAAAACCTTTTATGGAAATAGATAAAACCTTGATAAAAAAAATGTATAAAGTTTTTATGGAACTGTATAAAACCGTTATAGAAATGTATAAAACCTTAATAAATAAAAATGTATAAAACCTTTATGAAACTGTATAAAACCTTGATAATAGAAAAAAAATGTATAAAACCTTTATGGAAATGTATAAAATATTTACAGAAATGTATAAAACCCTAATAAAAATGTATAAAACTTTTATGGAAATGTATAAAACATTTACAGAAATGTATAAAACCTTTATGGAAAGGTATAAAACCTTTATGGAAAGGTATAAAACCTTTATGGAAATATCTAAAACCTTACAGAAATGTATAAAATATCTACGGAAATGTATAAAACATCTACGGAAATGTATAAAGCCTATATTAGAGTAATGAATAAAGTAAAATGTGCGCCATGAGCAAGTTTTGTGGATATAGCGCTTTATAAATGGTCATATTATTTTAATGTAGTAAAAGACCTATACAGAGCCCCATAAAAAAATTTATTAACCCAAACTACCCACAGTCATAACAAGGCTACACTTGTTAATAACAAAAATCATGTCAGTTTATACCATCAAGAGATTGTTTGGGCCATCCCATGGGGATTCCCGCATTCTGTCATATCCGTCAAATGAGAAATGGTTTTACGTATATCACTAGATATAATGATCGGGTCTGTTATGCAATGTGTTGTGAAGGTCGCACATACCTGTATATACCTGTACAGAGGGGAGGAACATACCTGTATACAGGTCAATGAGGTAAAGACGGTTGGGTCTTATTTGAAAAGGAATGAAATTAACCATTTAAAATATCGCGTATAAAAAAGCCACATCCCATGTGGGACTAAAACACACGTTCATAATTTCCAAACTTTCTAAACAAAAAGGAATGTAAAGGATTATTTAAAAGGCGACTCCAGTCTTGTTATACATCCTTGGCTGATAAATAAGTTCGATGATATATATACATACAGAACACAGGGACTTTCTACAGATATAGACTGAGTATGAAGAATAATGAGACTACGGCATACAGATTTAAAGATCGACAGTTTGTACACAGGGCACTGTTTGATGGCGTACCACAGGTTGCCTGTGGCGTTGTCTTTGGTTCCGTTGCGGTTTGTTGAGATGTGCTTGGTTGCGTTGAGATTTGTTGAGTTGTGCTTGGTTTCGTTGTGTCACATTCACACGCTGCCGATATATCATCGCCTGCTATTATTGTAACGGTCATTGTTGTATAGGAGACCCGTTCTGGTGTACCTTTATCCTGATAAATACAAGTGATAAAATATTTTAATATTTCAGTCTTTGTGCATTTAATCACGGCGGTCTTTTTCTCTAAGGAGAATTCTGTATTGGATTGCTTAGTGAATAATAACAAGTGGTAGTCTTTAGTTGTTTGAGGAAACCTAGGTACCAGGATAAAACGACAAGGTTTGACAGGTGACTTTATGTCTTGTCACGTACAATCGGTGAATCAAAACCACGTCACCTGACTCAATGTCAGGCCTTATGATCTGACGCGGCACGCGTTGAGCCATTCGGCCACCATTTCCCACACAGATCAGCATGAAACTGCTTAGTAACGGATACTAAAGATACCCACAGGGAGTGGGGTTTTACACAGGCTAAGCTCGTTTCCAGTGCCATACAGATATCCAGAATAAAAATATTCTTAATAAAAAAAAAAAATAAAAACGCATGGTTCCATTAATTAGATAAATTTTCCAAATAAAAACTTACTGTAGCTGAGATGTTGAGGATATAAGTTGCCATCTCTGTAAGTTGTTGGTTAACTTGGAGATGGCCAACATGGATGGTACTGAAGCTGAATTTGGTGCTTCCATCCGCCTTTGGTAAAAATAAACAAAAACAAAGATAAGCCAACTCACGATAACCAATGATTTGAAATGAAATGAAATGGGATGGTGTTTTAACGTGCTACAGTTCTGCGCCTACTGGGCTAATGAAGACCGACATACGCCATACATTCAACTGCCAAGTGTTCTTTCGCATGCACGTCAACGTGTAGAGAGGATTTGATGTCCCCGATTTGATGTCCCCTCGATAGTAACTAGGTCATTTCAGAGCTAATGCATGGTGTATCGTTATTTAGATATTTATAGGGGAGTCAACCGGAGAACCGGACGAAACTAAGGATTTATGCAAGCCCCTCACCCCCATTCCCTCTCTCGCACAAGATGGGGATCAAAACCTGACTCAATACTAGCTATGTCATTTAGGGGGATAACAAATGATATATGTTTATTGCAATATATAATAGCTGGAGAACCCAAGGAAACACCCCGAAATGATGCAGATGACCACCACCACCCCTCCCTCCCCTCGCTCACCCTCGCTCACCTACCCACCCCATTACATACACACACCTCATGTCACGTACAAGACTAGAATCGAAACCACGAATTTCAGTGACAGGCCCTATTGTCTAAAGCTCGCATGCTGGACCATCCCTTCAGGTCAGTGAAAGTGGTACCCCACGCCCTCCGTCGAATTCCGCTATTAAGACATCTAAAGGCCACATTTCTTAATCTGAGGCGTGCTGGGGCTCCCGAGGACAGAGAGGTTAAACTGACCACACTTAGAGCAATTTAGGGGGTCGGGGCTCTCTTCCCCGGGCGGCAAGAAACTGTTGGTTCTGTGGCACATGCTAGAGTCCATCATTTGACGTATACCTGAATCGTGGCCTACTGCCTGCCTACCCACCCAGCACGCTATATTCTTGTTTTGTGACATAAACAAGAAATTTAATGACTTACGGCTGATCCATCACCAGGTACAATACCATAAACAATTTCCCGATTTAATCCGTCATCTTTATCATTGGCATTTACAGCATCCTCAATAATTGTTGTTCCTGTTGGTGTATACTGTAAATAATTCAATCGATCGATCAATCGATCAATCAATCAAGAAATCAATCAACCAACCGAGCAATCAATCAACCAATCAATCAATCACTTAACAAACTAATCACTCAATTAATAGATCAATTACAAACAATTTTTCATACAATTATACAGTGAACGAATGAATGAATAATAAACATACGAGATTAAACAGCTGACCCTACTCCATGTCACGTACAAGCTGGCGACCGAAACCATGCTACTTGACTCAGTGACAGACCTTATGTTCTGAAAGGCCTATTAGACAACTGACCCTACTCCATGGCAGGTACAAACTAACAATGGAAACCACTCCACTTGACTCAATGACAGACCCTGTTATCTGAAACACACGTCTTAGACCTATCCAGACCGTCTCTGAAAGGCCTATTAGACTTCAAAGAGAGAGAGAGGGGGGGGGATTTAACTTCCACTCGACACAAACTAGTTCATTTCGCGTGTTCAATTTTATTATGCTTAGGGGTCTTTAACAGGGCGGGGGAGGGGGTGGCTGAATGGTTAGCAAGTACGCGCTGTATCATAAGGTCTGTCATTGAGTCAACTGGCGTGGTTTCGCATCCCCGGTTGTACGTGACAAGGAGTAGGGTCACCTGTCCAACCTCGTGGGTTTTCTCCTTGTCCTCCAGTTTCCCGACACTGCTAAAGACCCCTACGCGCAAGCGAATTATTGAAATAAAATTATACCATATGTTAGTCCCGAAATGACCTAGTTTGTGTCGAATGGACGTTAAATCCCATTTCTCTCTCTCTCTCTCTCTCGTTCTCTCGCTCTCTCTCCCCCTCTCTCTCTCTCTCTCTCTCTCTTGCTAACCATTCGGCCACCCAACCCCCTAGAAATCAAATCAAACTTCATCCTTTCTAACATACTCCTCGCAGTGTTCCGTTTGATTAGAGCTAATCCCAGAGAGGGATTTCTCGGGCCATTGCTTCAGGAATATGCATTTCTAAGAACATAACAATATTTACCATCTTGATTTGAACATCGGGATAAGATGCTGGCAGAAACTGTGGAGCGTTGTCGTTGATGTCTACAATATTTATCCGTATAGGAAAAAAATTTGTCTAAAATAAATTGAAAAAAAAAGATAGATGATTTATGTGATAATGCGATTCATAATTCATACTTTATCACACTTAGAGAAAAACACGGGATAACAGATTTCTGAAATATAAAAGTGGTGAAGAAAGAATCTAGACTTTTAAAGTAGCTAAGTTTCGAACTCAATATCATTCAAAATCTACGATATTGAAAACACAAATTATTTGTCAATTTAAATCAAAGCTGATGTTGTGATCTTACCGGGTAAAGATGTGCTTCTGATATCCAATATTAAAGACAAAATAAACATTTTACCATTGGTACACGAATCGTGTACCATAATGCGTTTCGGCGCCATTTGGAACAAGGTACTCAAAGAACGAGGCTAGACATATTCCACAAGTCATGTCAAATGGTGAGCATGCGCAATAAATACCATCGGTCTAGACTGAAATAGCCAGACGCTAAAGATTGTCATTTAATTGAGACTTTGGCGCATTTTGCCGAACATAACTGTTTAGAAATTACAGTAAAAACAGAAACGATTGAATGTAACTCAGTTTATATGCGTCGCGACCCATTTGTGTCAATTTCTAGGTCCCAAATATTAGCGATTTAGCTCCTTTAAATTGAACCATGTGTTAGTCCCGAAGTGACCTAGTTTGTGTCGAGTGGACGATAAACCCCCTCTCCATTACGAATTGCTCAACCTGTGTCAATTATATAGCATGGCTCAGATACAAATCGATTCTAATATCCCCCCCTCCCCCCGAAATGATATGAATATTGGTGTGTCGGGGGGGGGGGGGGCACGCGATCTTGTTTCTCGTGCAAAAACAGCAGTCACCATACCCGATGTACCATCTCTCCTACGGGTAGACGTTCGAATGGGACGAAAACCCGAGGTCCCGTGTACACACTGTCGTGCACGTAAAAGAGCCATTGACAGAATTCGAAATAAGAGTAGGTGGCAGTGCTGCTGTCCGGGCAAAATGTCCCTCATGGCACACTGTATGGCGTAAGTCCCGTCTTCATTAGTCCAGTTGGTGCAGAAAAGTAGGACGTTAAACCCAATTTCATTTCACAAAATATAGGTAAACGTAAATATAATAATGTAAATATATTACTTACTCCTTGTGTATCATTAGGATCAGTTGGTTTACATTCAATCGTATACTCTAGAATAGTGGTATCATCAGATACTGAAAAAGTATTTCCCTACACAAAATAAAATCATTAATAACAAATTACTAATATTTTATTATATATATATATTATCTGAGGAGCTTAATAAAATAAGCGAAAGTACTAGTAATCGACAAATAATGTAGATCTTTTTTCAAAAACTTTTATATTTTTGTGTATTTTTAAAAATACCTAAGGGTAATTATCATTAACTTTTCATATATATATATATATACATACATATATATATATATATATATATATATATATATATATACACAGAAAAATATAAAAGTTTTTGAAAAAGGAACTACATTATTGTTGATTACTAGCACTTTCGCTTATTTTATTAAGCTCTCCAGGTATTGACAAATATCGACCAGCTTTAGATGTAAAATTATAGTAGTTTCATTGCATATAGGCCTAGTTATTGTTATCTGATTTGATATTCTATTAAATGTCCCTTTTTTTTACTACTGTGTTACTATGACGCTATGACGTCATAGTCATTGTTGTATTAACTAGATGTTGTTTACCTGAAGAGCTTAATAAAATAAGCGAAAGTGCTAGTAATCAACAAATAATGTAGTTCTTTTTTTTATCAAAAACTTTTATATTTTTGTGTATTTAATAGGGGAGAGAGGGAGAGAGAGAGAGAGAGACTTGGTCATTTCGGGACTAACATATGGTTCAGTTTTTATTTCAATAATTCGTTTGAGCCTAGCGGTCTTTAGCAGTGGGTGATAAGCGGAGGAAAATCCACGGGGTTGAAAAGAAAAAACAAAACGGAAGTTTATTAATTTAGAAACTCTGTCTTCATCCAATTCGATCATTTCTGTTCTGGTTTCCAGCAATTTCGAAATGTTGGGGCATTATTTCATGCTTTTCACATGTGTCTGGGTGCGTTTGGGTCAGTGTGCTTTTCGGCTGGAGTAACGGGGGGAGGGGGGTGATCTGATCACACTTTATTTTAGCTGGCAACACATTTGGGTCTACTAAATCATAAAGTGTTAGACAACGCGACCAACTAACCTTCAGCTTTTGGACTATGGAAAGAATCTTGGTGGCACAGATAACTGACCACAAACTGGGATCTAAACAGTCTTGACTCTCTCGCCGTACGACAATACTCAAAATGGCGGAAGAGAGAGAGAGAGAAAAAATGGGGTTTAACGTCCACTCGACACAAACTAGGTCATTTCGGGACTAACATATGGTTTAATTTAATTTCAATATTTCGCTTGCGCGTAGGGGTCTTTAGCAGTGGGGGGAAACCGGAGGACCCGGAGAAAACCCACGAGGTTGGACAGGCGCAAAATGGCGGAAAATCACACAAACGCTGTGGGGACTAATATTGGGTAAAAACCAAAACTCACATCTCTGTCGATGGGCGACACCGGTCGAATAAAATATCCAGTTTGAGTTCCTCCTCCTGCAACCTGTGCATCAGTTAAATATTCCAATATGAACTCGGACGGATCTATTTTAGTTGGCTGCAAGGAATTCTTTTGGGTAATGGTCAATGTAACAGAATTTGGTGGATCTGTCAGGCCGATAAATTTACGATAAAGGGTTATGTCCGCTAAAGAAAACAATGGTAAATATAGTTTTACACAATATCAAAATATCTATTATTCGTTTACAGTAATATGACAATTTGTTGGGTACATCACACCGTAAGACAACTTCTATTGACCTCTTATATCACATACAATATCCGGTCCGTCTTAGGGGAAGGGGTTGCATGAACTAATAGTTTAAGGTTGTTGAACAAGACGGCTGTTATATAAATTTGATGTTTATATTATTAAAATTGTCTCGGTAATGGATTCTCAGACTGGCACCAGCGTTTATACACAATTCACTTCGACTAAGAAAATTGAGTGATAAATACAATTGTAATCTGTCCTATTGGTTGTTCTGGTCATCACTATTTTAGGATTGAGATTATTCAATTCCGATGTGATAGTTTGAGTTGACTCCTGGTGTGTGTTTTCTCCTGGGCACTTGCGCATGTCCGAAACTGATGTTTGCCTTAACAACGAAACTATATCTACTTCCTGCGGTGCGAGTTGGTTCCTGGTCAGTACAGGAAAAGTATATCATGTACTTGATTAGAGTTTTGTCATTAATAAACATAATTGTTATCGTGATTAGCTGTTGTTTTAGTGATGAGTAATTATACGATCAACGGATCTAAGTTGATTGGCTTGAAATTGATACTTCTATCGTTCGTGATTTGTTGCCGTTGGGTTTTTTTTAGTGATTAGTCGTTCTTCACACATACGATCAGTGGAAACCATACAAATTGATGATTGGCTTGAAATTATCAATTAATTCGCCTCCAAAGGAAGATTAAGGCCTTTGATATTTCGTGGCTTCATTTATCACAAATATAAAAGTATGGAATTTCTTATTCCGATTTCTTTAACATAAATATAAATTTATTATACCATCCCATACATTCAAACATGCATGTAGGCAGCCCAAATACAAGAGAGAATGTTAGCATTGTGGACGGGTATATATACTAAATAATAATAATAAAGATCGTCAATTTGCATCCTCTCGTGGTGGTAATACTGTAAATATCGGTACATAATAGTCTATATATTGTTTTGACCGTAAGAAAATCTTAGGGGAAATCCTATCACGAGGAGTCAATGCACACCGCGACAGTTACGGTGTGAGTTGACTCCTACAACTGCGCATGCGCCAAACGGTAATCACACACCAGGAACCATCTGAAACTGCCACACCGGAATGTTTAATCTAGTCACTCGGCAAACCTCGGCAGATTCCGGTGCTCTACATCTAGCCTCGGCTGTATGACGGTAAGTGTTATGTACTTATACCTATACAATTGTGATGCGGCTATCGGTTTACTTATTAGAAAAACTTGCCGCTTTTAGAAAAAAGTTCTCAAAATTGCAACATTCAAATAGGTGTAGACTTTTCATTGCAAAGTTGTCCTTGTTTAAAGAAAATCGGATAAACTTGAAAGAAAAACAGCTTCAGACTTTGAAATATTTGTATGATAAAACATTCTTCAAAGGCGTCGTCATGGGCAACGCCGGTGGTAATCCGGGAACTTGAAAGTAATTCCAATAGCGGACTTCGTCATACAGCCGAGACTAGATGTAGGGTACTGGAGGTTTTGATAGGTTAAGTTACGGTTCTGTGTTTACATAGAATGTGTTATGAATAATATGGACAATTTTAAAGATACGTTATGGGAGATTAGATAAAGAGCTGGCAGTTCTCACTATAATAGTTAAAAACTAGATAATGTAAAGTCAAATTGCTGAAAATTTCAGTCAAATTGATCCACCCTGAAACTAGATTTTAGTCATTGAATTTTCGGCTCAGTCTCGACCATCATTACTAAAGTCGTTACGATAGAAAACATAGTTTCGATTATCCATTTCATGATCAAGAATGAAAGTGGAGCAGCAAATGGTTTCTAATCCAGTAAACATTGCAGGCTAGCGTTGACATCGAGAGTTGATTATGGTCTGGATAAGTTAATTAATGTCTAATTAATAATTTAGATAACATTTCAGGGCTAAAGAAAGACATGCAATAGGAAGATTTAGCTCTTGCATAATGTATGTTTAATAAAAATAGATAAATTTTATACTCACGGCCGAATGCTGTATCAGCTTCTTCAATTGATACTCGAATAGTTCCTGCTTGAAAGGCAGGACCAGTACTTAGATCACAAACTAAACCAAATAAAATTAACACATACTGAGAGGTGGGAGAGAGGGAGAGAAATGGGGTTTAACGTCCTACTGTTCTGCGTCTACTGAACTAATGAGAGGGAGAGAAATTGGGTTTAACGTCCACCCGACACAAACTAGGTCATTTCGGGACAAACATACGGTTTAATTTTATTTCAATAATTCGCTTGCGCGTAGGGGTCTTTAGCAGTGGGAGGAAACCGGAGGACCCAGAGAAAACCCACAAGGCTGGACAGGCGACCCTACTCCTTGTCACGTACAACCGGGGATTCGAAACCACGCCAGTTGACTCAATGATAGGCCTTATGATACAGCGCGCGCACGTGCTAACCATTCAGCCACCCAACCCCCGTGAGCAAAGGGATGTAATTCTGTAATAAAATGACATGGGGTTTAACATCCTACTGTTCTGCGTCGACTGAACTATTGAGAGGGAGAGAAATGGGGTTTAACGTCCACTCGACACAAACTAGGTCATTTCGGGACAAACATACGGTTTAATTTTATTTCAATAATTCGCTCGCGCGTATGAGTCTTTAGCAGTGGGGGGGAGACCGGAGAAAACCCACGAGGTTGGACTGGCGACCCTACTCCTTGTCACGTAAAACCGGGCAATCGAAACCACGCCAGTTGACTCAATGACAAGCCGTATGATACAGCGCGCACATGCTAACCATTCGGCCATCCAACCCCCCGACTGGATTCATGAAGACGGGCATACGCCATACAGCATGCTATATGAGGGAAATTTGTTTGTTTCTACATAGCCCTGTAATGGTCCACAACTATGCAAATTATCAAAAAATACTATTTAAAAATAAAAGTAAAATAATTCACTTACCTGCGTTTGCTTGTTTCTACATAGTTGTGTATGACCTACATCTTAGGCAAATTATCAAAAGTTACAATTTAAACAATGAAAGTAAAATAATTCACTTACGTCCGTTGGTTTGTTTGAGGAATACACTCAACACCAGTAACAGTTGTCCAAATGAAATGGAGACCCTCATCTTGACGACTTCTAGAAATAGTAAATTCAATAATTTACAATTTACAAATTTTATTTATTGATATTCATTTTTTACAATTTAGAATAACCAACAATTGCCTCAGAGAGACAGAGAGAGAGAGAGAGAGGGAGGGAGGTGGGGCGGGGGGCAACGTCCGTTCGACACAAACTAGGTCATTGCGGGACTAACATATGGGGGTCCTTTAGCTGCGGGAGGACACCGGGCAGTCTGGAGGAAACCCACGATGTGGGAAAGTGAACTTGTCGCGCGTACAAGCGAGGGTTCGAAACCATACCACATGACAGATCTTATTATCCAAAACGGACGCGATAGATAGACCATTCGACCACCCAACACCCATGTCTACCGAAAAACGACAATATCAAAGTGTTCAATCCTGAATAAAATGTACTAGTCGTTCGGGTGGAACGAAAAAACGAGATATACGAATCGACAAATAAATAAGAAATATTATCAAGTCTTTTAGAAAAAATATTGGTTACGATTTGACAAAAAAAGTCCTTTAGAACTATATTGGTTACGATTCGACAACATAAATGGTTGCCTTAATCCTTGAATGGGCATAATAAAAACACAATACAATTTATATGGAAAACAATCACACCTTTATCGCGACGTTTCGGCAAGTTGTCCAGCACACGAATTATTAAGAATAGAAAACTATCAACTATTACCTGGTTGGTGATGACTGTCTAGCGAGGTTCAATCTCAGGAATAATGTCCACACCTGTGATTCCGCATGATAATATAGGAAGACACAAGGATGTAACGTCATAAGTTATAAGGGGTAATAATAATAATATACGATATTTATAGATTTGTCGTGAAATATCATGAATGGGTTGAAGACTCCACCCTATATTTATACAAATAGAGGATGTAAAATATACAAAGGGGACAAAGACCCGTGGCTTTATATGTCCCTCAATGACGTCATTATTTTCCCAATATTGACGACCGGGGTGCGCTAGAGCAATTTTAAAACGTACAACAGAATATGAAAATGACAAGGCCAATAAAAAATACATGTGTTTGTGGTTACTTGACCACAAAAAAATTGAGTCGGTCGGTTGATAAATATTGTGCTTTTCTATTTTTAGTGGCTTTTTTTCCTTCTCTACATATTTTTTTAAAAGTATTAAAAAAAATAAATAAAGGCGATTGAAGTATATCTAGATAAAAAAAAATATTTCCTATTTGGTGTAAATGTGTATATAAAATGAGTAAAAGGCGCCATTCTTCCCGGACCAGTTTACACTACCATGTAAACAATTCACGCGCCATCGAGCCAATGATCGACCCCGTATGATGTGACGTCACATGTAGAAAGTAACCGTCTTATACAGAGTTATAAGAAGACTTTCGCAATATCTCTATGCAAGGGGGGTTGGGATAGTCTAGTGGTCTAGAGTGTCACGCTTCGATCTCTAGCTGGCCGGTCACCTCTGGCTTGCGTTTGTGGTTTCGACTCCTGGTGTGAGCTTGGAGATAGTGGCGCCTTCTCAACCTCGTGGGTTTACTCCGGGTACTCCCGTTTCCACCCACAGGAAAGACCCCTGCGCGTGCGTTAAGATAATGAAAAATTAAAAAAAAGACAACTTGTCTGCGATATCATCTTCGGTGGAGGCGGACGTTAAACACTAAGAACAACAACCTCTATGCGACAGATTGGGTTAAGGATTGGATAGAAAAGAAGTGAACTAATAAATTAATCGTGTAATTGCAGTCTATAGCCTTTCTGGTCTCAGTCTAAATACCGTGTTTATTATCTGTTTCCAAGCATTTCTAGCTGAAACATACATTATGCAAGAGCTAAATCTCCCTATTACAAGGCCTAAAATGTTTTCTAAGTTATCAGTTAGACATTTAACATACATTATGCAAGCGCTAAATCTGCCAATTGCAAGTCTTTCTTTAGGTCTGAAATGTTTTCTACGTTATCAATTAGACATTAAACATGCACTATGCAAGAGCTAAATCTGCCTATTGCAGGTCTTTCTTTAAATCTGAAATGTTATATAAACTGTTAATTAGACATTTATTAACAAAACAAGACCATAATCGACTCTCGATGGCATCGGATACAAGAGATTTTAACTAGATTAAAACGGTTCGCCATTTAAAAAAATTTAATTTAAAATTGGAAAGCGAGGCTAAGTCCCGAGTATATAAGTGTCCTGGTTACAACTGTGCACAAATCTTGTCAAAACTACAAACAATGATAACTTGGCTGAGAATGCAGTAATTTGAATGAAATTTTCAATATTTTCTTTCTTTATCATATATTTTTGAATTATTATAGCAAGAATGACGAACTCTTTATTAAACTCTTAACTAATGTATCTTTAGTTAACTTATCAAGACAATTATCAACTCTCGATGGCATCAGATTTCTTTGATATTAAATAGATTAGAACAGTTCAGTCATATTTTGATTTAAGCTAAAAATGGAGGAGCGAGACTTAGCTTCGAACAACCAGGACGGTGGTTGAAATTATTGCACACGTCTTGTCAAACCTTCGAAGGTTAAAATATCTTTGCTCACAATAGTGAAATTTGAATTGATTTTACACTATCTATTTTTGAACTATTATAGCAAGAATGGCTAGCTCTTTATCTAAATCTTACATAATGTATCTTTAATTACTGGGTAGAGGTGTGTAAAATAACTTCGATACCGACATTTCAGTGTCTGCAAAAAAGCATACCAATGCAGATTTATAGGACCTGGAAAATGCTAATGATAATGTATTATGAATGTATATAAACTCATTTACAATCGCGTGGCAAGGAGTAGGGTCGCCTGTCCAACCTCGTGGGTTTTCTCCGGGTCCTCCGGTTTCCTCCCACTGCTAAAGACCCCTACGCGCAAGCGAATTATGTAAATAAAATTAAACCATATGTTAGTCCCGAAATGACCTAGTTTGTGTCGAGTGGACGTTAAACCCCATTTCTCTCTCTCTCATTTACAATCGTTTCTGTTTTTATTTAATTTCTAATAAGTTATGTTCAGTGAAATACGCAAAAAGTCCCAATTAAATGGCAGTCTTTGGTGTCTGGTTATTCCAGTCTAAACCGGTAGTTTTCTCCTGTTTAACCTCGTTCATCGTGTCGCTTCATTACAAATGGCGCTCGAAAGCTTTCTGGTACACGATTCCTGTGCCAATTTTAAAATGTTCATCTTGTCCTAAATATTGGACAAAGGCCAATCTTTTCATGGTAGATAGCAACATTATTGGTGATCTAAATTAACCAATAAGTCGTGTTTGCAGTGTCGAAGACTGTGGATGATATGAACTCAAACATCCTAAGGCAATAATCGAATTAATTTACTAATAACTATTGGAATATATATGACCACCATCCCTCACATTCAATTCCTGCCAGTATCCACAGTAAAGTCTAGTACTCATATCATTAGTAAAGAAATATGTTTTATTAATAAACTATGAGCCGCCATTAAATCGAAAGAAAATGGTTAAATGTATAACTTTGGTCAATATTTTATTATCGGGAATGTTATTTATTTGGGATATTTGATATCTAATATATTATTTAAAAAGTCATAATAGGTGAACTGGAGTAGCCTTTGCTGGTCGACAAAACTTCTATAAAAAAAATCGAAAATATCGAATGGGGGGGGGGGGTATTTAAAGCTAAACGAATTGATTAAAGAAAAACGTCAAGTCAGTAAAGCACAATAATAAAATTTCATGCGGATCTCGAAAGCATTAAATGATTCTTCTGTAACTGTAGTAGTAAGATTAACATTGCCTGCTAAATATTTACAGGCACTTACTTTACAACTAAGCCACATTGGATAACGTTTTAATTATGAAGTCGTTACAATATACGCTGGGTATAAGTTTTGGTTTATTTCTTACCATCGCATGTAAACAGGATTTCTACAGCAAATATAATTTTGAGAATCCCGTGCCCATGTCGTATTCTCTTGAAATAAAATATACTGCTTGCACTACGTGCGCACGATTGTGTTTATCTACTCAAGGTTGTATATATTTCTACTGGTACAACAGATCCTGTTATATCGTAAACGCAGCCTCGCCTGGTAATAGTTCAGTAAATGTTACATCTATCTACGTTCACGATGATCTCAAAGGTAAGAACTTACATTAAATAGATATATACTATACAGCAAAAAAAAAACGTCAGTACGATTTCAAAATTAGAGAGGGATTCTAGAAAACGACTCACTAAATGGATCAAAGCAATTTTTTGTTAACAGTATGTCGACACATTAGTGATTAATTCACCACAATTCCAAGACATTACGAGAAGGTTTAGAGTCAGTACACAGTCTATACATCAGTATCTGGTGTGTCCACAGCGAGTGTCAATAACAACAGCGTCTGTACATGGAGTGGACCAGACGATTGATGAACGTCATTCGCACCTGAACCACACTCTCAGAAAGCCTGGCACAATCCATCGGCTGTGTTTGGTCTCGGTACGACGTTATTAAGTCTCCTCTCTGAATTTCATCCCAAAGATGTTCAATCGGGTTTAAGTCCGGACTAAGGGCTGGCCAATGCATAACGTTGACACCGTTCTGCTGTAGAATGTCCCGAGTAGCTCGGCGGTGTGGGCACGTGCGTGGTCATGCTGGAAAACGTCGTTTCGATGACGTGCGAAATGTGGGTATGACGTGGGGTCTGAGAGCTTGATCGATGTAATGCACTCCCTGGACCAAGATTTTGGAACACCACAGGAACCACTCTCTGGTTCAAACCGAATCCACCCCAAACCATTATGCTTGGACCTCCCCACGAGTCTCGTTCCATGACACATTGGTCAGGATAACGCTGGCCACGTCGACACCATATTCTGGTCCTGCCATCTGCAGTTGATACGCACTACCGACTCTCATCTGTGAACAGAACAGTTTTCCATTGCCTGTGTCGCCAGTTCTGGTGTTGTTGGGCAAACTGTAGACGTTCACGTCGATGGTGAGGGGTGACGATCGGTCCACGGTAAGGTCTAGATGGGTATATGCCCATATTTTACATGTATTTACAGATAATTGTAATCTAGATGGGTATATTGCCATATTCTGTTTACAGATACAGGTAATTGTAATGTGGATGGGTATTGTGCCATATTTCACATGTGTCTACAGATATTTGTAATCTAGATGGGTATTGTAATCATATTATGTTTATAGATATTTGTAATCTAGATGTGTGTGATGTCATATTATGTTTACAGATAATTGTAATCTAAATGGGTATTGTATCATATTATGTTTACAGATAATTGTAATCTAGATGGGTATGACGCCATATTTGGTGGGGTATTGTGTCTAAAGGTATATGACACACTAAAGAATTGGACAGACGCCAAGTCAACTTGTGAACAAGATGGAGGACAGTTACTTGTGATGAGAACGAGTGTCTTCTATATAAAACTGGAGGCGCTGAAGACACTTCAACAATGTAAGGGAATGTTTATTTATTACGTCTGTTCTCGCCCATTTTAAATCAACATTGATGTTGTGATCTTACCTGGAAAAGATGGGCTTCTGATAACCAATATTTAAGGAAATATACACATTTTACAATAGGTACACGAATCGTGCACCATAATGAGTTTCGGCGCATTTGTAACGAGGAACTCGAAAAACGAGGCTAGACAAAGTTCCACAAGTCATGTCAAACGGTGACGACATATTCTTATCTGGAGAGCATGCGAAATAAATACTATCAGTGTAGACTGGAATAACCAGAAGCAAGAGATTGCCATTCGATTGAGACTTCTGGTGTATTTCGCCGAACATA